TAGGTTGTCCCCCAGGGGATCTTACCCATCATTGACTAACCAGCGCTCAAAATGGGACACCACAGGAGTGCTTGCTCAGATAGGGGTAGGAATGAGAAACAATGGTAATCAGGAATGACATGACTGCACACAGGCTGTGGGCCATTTGAGTGGCTGACCAGAGCTAGTAGGGTATAAAACAGTAGCGGATGTGGCTATGGGCAGTCTCTCAGGGTAGGATGATAGGGCAGGTGCATATGCTAACAAGGCGGACTCTCAGTCTTGTTCAGCTGGTTCTGGTTGACTGTCAGTTGCAGGCTTGATGTTTCTGGCTGATACCCAAATGGGCTGTCCTGCATTCTCTGGAAAGACATAAGCATATCCTTGACCCTTGGTTAGCAGAAGCCTTTCTACGGGTGTTGGAATCCAGGGCCTGAATTCTGTGTTCACTTCAACATTAACGGCAAACATGCGGGTGGGATGGAGTCTAGCAGCTGCCCTGAGAGGCTGGGGTGCCTGAGAACTGCCACAAATGTGGGGATCCTCACAGGGTGTAGATGGGATGACCTCTTGTGGGTTATTGCCTGGAGGTGATCTGTGTTTACCCCACAAGTATTTGGGGGGTGGCTGACTAGGCATTGCTACATTGTTTGCTACCTTGTTTTCTGCATCACTTGCTGCATTGTTTCCTACATCGTTTGCTACATTGTTTGCTGTCATGTCATTTTCACTGTCAGAGTTCTTTCTCCCTAAGTCATCAACTGTTGTGTGAGGCAGACTCCTGGAGTGACAGGCTCTTAACACTCACAGATTCATTATGTTTGGTAATCTGTGTGCGCTTCTGAGAGGGGAGTATCTTTCCCATGTGTAAGTGTTTAAGAGTGGTGTGCCATGCCAACTCTAGCCAAAGGAAAGACATGCACAGCACTGCTGCCATAACAAAACAAATTCCTAGCTCCTCAGCGGCTGATGGCATTATGCAGGGGGTTCCCTATGTTAGACGAACAGACAGTGGTGTAGCAGATCAGACGTATGTCCTGTGCTTAGTGGCGACTTCCTTGATTCTTTAGGTCAAGGCTATATGCCCACACGGTGTCTCTGGAGCATCACCTCTCTCGAGAGGGAAGATGACTTGGTTCCAAATTCTGGGATGATCAGTCCCTTATGTGAATTTGCTGGGCGAACTGAAAGTAAAAGGAGGAGCCGAGAAGCAGCGTTATGCTTCTGGGCAGTGTGTGCCTAACCTGGAGTCACTCAGACCAAGGACAAGGACAAGGAAAGGGGCTTAGGAGGGGGTTCTGTGTTCACCCTCACAGAACCAAACAGCACACAAAACACCAAGGGCCAAGTAGCCGAAATCAAGGAGGGGACCACACCAGTCCAACATGTTGTCTCTCTCTCAGTCATGTTGGCATGCCAGATGTTGCTGTCGATTCGTTGTGAGAGGAGGAGTGTGGTGGGGGCAAGAGGTGTGGAGTCATCACACAGACCCCGAGAGTCGGGTGAAAGCAGGCCAGAGGTGAGAAGCCCTCAAACTCATTTATTTCAGTTGCTAAAGCAGCTTATATAGCCAAAGTAGCCAATCTGGTCATGGGGTGGTCTATGCCCTAACCAATCACCAACCAAACTGTTGCCAGGCAGTTTCTGAAGCCATCCAATCACAGCCTGTTGCCAGTCAGGCTCCATTGTCATATGGTTTCCAAAGCCATCCAATCACAGCCTGTTGCCAGGCAGTTTCTGTTGCCAGCAGCCGTCTTGGCATGGCCTTCTCATTCTATCACAGAGAGATACTTCCCTTAAAAGGGCAGAGAGTGGTCCATGAGGCGAGAACATGAGAGAAGACAAGAGGAAGGGCTCTCCATAGTCCAGCAGTCCCCTTTATGGGATAAGATGTGGTACTCTAACTGGACATAAACATGAGGTAGAGTCTGGGCAGGGTTTAATGTGCAGGAGATTTCCTGAGTGCTTCATGGCATCTCCAGGTGGAGCTCAGCTCACACCTACCTGTCCATCATGGCATCTTCTCCTTCCCAGTTCTGGAAGAGATGCAGGTGCATCATGGGAAAGTGGCTGTATGGGGTGGCATTTAAAGGTATACAGTTAAAGTGCAGGGCTACAGAAAGAAATTATGGAAAAAAATCTCTGCCTCATTTATTTCTATCTATTCCCCATAGCAAGCACATTTTACAGTTGAGGAAAATTAAGTCACACAATTTGAATAACAGCTAAAATTTCCATTATAATTGAGAGAGTTATTCAGGTTTAAAAAATGTATGTAGGGGCCAGTGTTGTGGCATAGCTGGTAGGGCCATTGCCTGCAGTGCTGGCATCCCATATGGGCACCAGCTTTCGACCCAGCTGCTCCACTTATGATCCTGCTCCTTGCTATGGCCTGGGAAATCAGTGTAAGACGGCCCAAGTCCTTGGGGCCCTGAACCCATGTGGGAGACCTGGAGGAAGCCCCTGGCTCCTGGCTTCAGATTAGTGCAGCTCCGGCCATTGTGGCCAATTGGGGAGTGAACCAATGGATGGAAGACCTTTCTCTCTGTCTCTCTCTCTGCCTCTCCTCTGTGTGAAACTCTGACTTTCAAATAAAATGAATAAATTTTTTTAAAAAATGAAAAATGTATGTATGTATTTAATCTATATGATTTCTTTCTATAATCAACTTCAATAAATTGAGGTTGATAGAAAGAAAGATATGAATGATAACCTGTTTTCCATCATGTTTTTAAAAATTATTTATTTTATTTATTTGAAAGACAGAGTTATACATATAAAGAGGGGGAGAAAGAGAGAGAGAAATCCTTCTGCTGGTTCACTCCCATAATGGTTGCAACAGCAGGGGCTATTCCAGACTGAAGCCAGGAGCCAGAACCTTATTCTGGGTCTCCCACATGGGTGCAAGGGTCCAGTCATTTAGGTAATTTTCCACTGCTTTTTCAGGCATATTAGTAGGGAGCTGTATTGGAAGTGGAGCAGCCAGGACTCGAATCAGAGCCTCTATGGGTTGCTAGTGCTACAGGCAGTGGCTTAACCTACTATGCCACATTTCATTAATTTTTTTTTTGACAGGCAGAGTGGACAGTGAGAGAGAGAGATAGAAAGGTCTTCCTTTGCCGTTGGTTCACCCTCCAATGGCCGCTGCAGCCGGCGCGCTGCGGCCGGCGCACTGCGCTGATCTGATGGCAGGAGCCAGGTGCTTTTCCTGGTCTCCCATGGGGTGCAGGGCCCAAGCACTTGGGCCATCCTCCACTGCACTCCCTGGCCACAACAGAGAGCTGGCCTGGAAGAGGGCACCTGGGACAGAATCCGTTGCCCCGACCGGGACTAGAACCCGGTGTGCCAGTGCCCCAAGGTGGAGGATTAGCCTAGTGAGCTGCGGCGCCGGCCCCATTTCATTAAATTATATAGTGACTCACTGTCCATCAAAAATTATTTCTCCATTTCTTAGAAAAAAGCTCCTGCCTTTATTTGAGCTGACAATATATACATCAAAAACTTATAATTGCCTGCTTCCCTTAATGCTCTATAAGGCCAAATAGGAATGTTTTAAGTAATGAGGTAAAAATGGAAAGATTACCATAGAATAATTTTGTGGTATTCCCTAGAAAAGAATTTCATACAACTGTGAGGCAAATCCTTTGTTCCTGCTTTTTCATCTCTGTCGTGTGAGATACAGGCATAATGGCTGGAGCTCTAGTGGTTATATGGACCATGAGGTAACCTCAAGGGGAGAAATCAGTCATATAAAAAAGGAAGGATGGAGCCTGAGGTCCTAATAATTTTTGGAGTATTCATATCACTGCTGAACAGCCTACTCTATCTTTTTACATTAGAAGAGTAAGTCCTGAATATGTAAGTAGATGTTTCAGTTTTCCTTTTATGTCCAACCAGAACAAATCCTATTTGATACAAAGATCACCTGGAAATTTTCTGTATTCATCTCTGTTTTGTGGACATTTCACTGTAGATTAGGAGCTCAACTACAGAGAAATTCCATAATTAATTCAATTCCCATTTTTAGCTTCTCAATGAAATAGAGAAAAGAAGTTTTATCCCACTTTTTTTTTTTTTGACAGGCAGAGTGGACACTGAGAGAGAGAGACAGAGAGAAAGGTTTTCTTTTTTTTGCCATTGGTTCACCCTCCAATGGCTGCCGTGGCCAGTGCGCTGCGGCCAGAGCACCGCACTGATCCGATGGCAGGAGCCAGGTACTTCTCCTGGTCTCCCATGGGGTGCAGGGCCCAAGCACTTGGGCCATCCTCCACTGCACTCCCTGGCCACAGCAGAGAGCTGGCCTGGAAGAGGGCAACCGGGACAGAATCCGGCGCCCCGACCGGGACTAGAACCCGGTGTGCCGGCGCCGCGAGGCGGAGGATTAGCCTAGTGAGCCGCGGCGCCGAAAAAAAGAATCAAAGTTACCAGTTAAAATCAAAGTTGGAGATTCAATTCTTTTCCTAGCCCTAATTAAGATGATTAGTCCAAAATTAACCAACTTAAATTTCTATTATTGTATGCATTTACATTTAGGATTGTTCTCTCAATCGCTTGAGAAAAGGACCATTTTATCATAATATTCTTCATTGCTTAAAATCTAAGAATAAAAAATCTTATAGAATTTAAATAATAAACAAATTCATCATTGCTTAAAATCTAAGAATAAAAAATCTTATAGAATTTAAATAATAAACAAATTCATAATAAAAACTCCAAAGTTAACTGAATTGGAATCCAACAAAGAGAAAGATAGAAACTGTTTGTTTTCAGTACACTCCAAGATAGGTACGTTGTAGGAGGTTTGTTCTTCCTTAAATGCCTGCCAAAGTTATTTTCTGTACTAATCTACTACTTTCTGTACTATGATAATGAATCACACAAGTCATCCACATTGCACTTGACTTGTAAATTGACTGCTGCTGGCCATAAACCTCAGTGGGCACTTGTTTGGGTCTAAAGCAAATCATCAGATTTAAACCCCAGCACATTCCTGAGGTCTTTGTCATTGTCGTGTGTTTCAGGACATCCTGACATACCTCTGCTGCAGAGTGTTTTGAGGACATGGACTTCTGGTGAGAGTGGCAGGCACTCCGGTGACCTATTTGCTGGTGAAGCCTGTGTGAGTTATTTTGCTCAAACAAAATTTTAATGCATCTGGGAAACAATCAGAAAAGCCAACAGCAAACTAAGAAGTATCCGCTTTAGGAAATCTATGAACCAGAGGTAAGAAAGTCGGAGTGTGTGGTATTGGAACAAAACCATCCCTTTCTTCTACCCTTCCCATAGAACCAGGTAGAGACTCCACTCTAGACCGCTGCACCTAGGAAGACACGGCTCCTTCTCTTCCCGACTCCCAGCTGGAAGGCTTTCTTTTTGGGAGGAGCAGGGCTTTAGTTGTCATCCTGCCTCCAGCTACCAGCTATTGAGGAGAAATCACAAATAAATGTGGTCAAAAGTGGGGCCTTCCTCGCTCCACCTGACTCCAGGAGTGGAAGTGAGACTCCAGCTTGAGTGCTGCATCTGTAGTGACTGGAGCCCTGAAAGCCCTTCCTTCTGTTGGAGGTGTTGGTTTCATGCCAAGAATGGCAAGCCTGGGGACCCCCAGCTGCTGACCTAATTTCCCTTCCACTCAGTATTCGGCTCCGTGAGTAAAAATGTCAGCCAAGGAAGAGCTGTCATTGCCCCATCTGCACGTTCAGAGCCCTGGCTCTGAGATATTCTTTTCCTTTCATTTTTTTTTTTTTGCCTGGGGCAGGGGAAACAAACCAAGCAAGAAACGATTGTTAGTCTCTTCCCCATAACTGACTTCATTTGCAATCATATGTAAAGAAGTTTCAACATAAAGGCACTTTGAGGAACAGTAAATGTTGGAGTGAAAGACCACAGGAAGGAGATAGCTGAAGATCTAGGCTATACTGTAGGCCAGACATTTGCAGGAGAGAACCATGAAACAAGAACTCTGTGAGGAACCTTCCTGGGGTAAGGACACACATTGAACATATTAGGAACTCTTCTGTCAAATGAACCATAATTTGATTTTAGTGATTTGTAGAGGAATTTATGCCTAGAGCATTGCTGGAAACAATAGAACACTCAGTAGGCAAATGACTGCTGGGTGTGGTCAGTGGAGAGTGACAGCTAAGTGTGAGCATGGGAAGAGCGGAAGCACCCCTAAAAGTATCACTATCGTTCCAAGATGACTGCAGGCATGTTCAAACCTACACCCCTGAGATTTTACTAATATAGGCAGTCACTAAACAAGTAAATAGATAACCATAACAAGCCTCAGATGATGGGACAGTGCTCAGAATTACAGTATATTACCTAAAATGTGCAATTTCCATGAAAAAGTATAAGGCATACAAAGAAACAGGAAAATACTATGCATATATCTGAGAAAAACAAAAATAGGCAACAGAAATTTCCATCAAAGTAACTGGATGTTAGATTAACAGAAAATAATTTCAAAGTAGCCATCATAAATATGTTCACAGTACTAATGGGAAGCAAGATTAAAGGAGTAAAGAAAGGTGTGATGACAGCATATCAAATAGAATACATCATTAGGGGCAGGTGTTGTGGTACAGTGGGTTAAGCCTTTGCTGGGACACCCACATCCAATAATGGAGTGGCAGTTCAAGTTCCAGCTACTCTGCTTCTGATCCAGCTTCCTGCTAAGGCAACCAGGAAGGCAGCAGATAGGCAACTTACTGGTGACCTAAATGGAATTCCTGGCTTTGGCTTTGACTTGGCTCAGCCACAGCTGTTGAGGGCATTTGGGGAATGAACCATTGAATGGAAAATCAATCCCTCTCTCACTGTCACTCTATCTTTCAGATTTTTTTTTATAAAAGATTATGTTAATAAGACATAGAAATTATTAGAAATAAAAAACTCACCAGAGGGGCTCATTACTGGCCAGGGCTCCCTGCTCACGCACCCCTCTTAGTTATAAAACCACTGAATTTACCTTCTGAGAAAGGGGACAGTTATTTTTTAACTACAGGCCAGTAGGAGAAATGGGCAACTCACTTTGAGGTCTATGTCAATCTTTCCATACAACATTTGGGAATTTATTGAGTGCGGTAGGTTGCAGAACTCGGTGAAACAAAGCAACAGAACATGATAGGTGCAGAGTAAAGGGACGGGGAGGGTCCTCTGAGCAGGGTCCTTGGCAAATCTTGTCTTTATGTGCATTGGACGTTCAAAGATGGCTCCTGAAATATCATCTGAAATGTATTATTGAACATGATAATCAATCATAAGGTAACTCTGTCCACCAATCTGAGTTGATCTGCCCAGGCTCCAGTTACAAGGCTGGGTGAAGTGGGCTCTGTCCAATTATATCAGGGGTCCTTGAAAGAGAATTCTTCTGATTCCTTTGCAAAAACAACAATTATGGGATTGTAAGTTACTATGCAACAGGTATGTACAAGTCATGAGAAGTTGTTGTTAAACAAGGGGAAGGAAATCCTTTGTTGTTCATGGTTCAGGCTCAATAGTAGATTCTACCTGGTGGAAGAAAGAATTTGTGAATTTCAAGATAGATTGATTTAAAAACATGAAAATCTGAAGAAACAAGAATGAGTAAAAGTAAGCAGGGCCTTAGAGGGGTGTGGGGTGCTATTAAACACACCGACATATACATACTGAGAATACTAGAAGAAAAGACGAATAAGAAGAAAAAAATTTCAAGAAATGACTGAAAACTTTCCAAATTTTTTTTTTTTAAATCTATATATCTAGGAAGCTCAAATAATTCTAAGTAGTACAAAGCGCAAAGCAATTGGCAAAGGAGAACATCATTGTAAACGTGCTGGAAGCCAGACAAGGAAAAAATATTAAAAGTAGCAAGAGAAAATAAAATGACATGACACTTAGAACGTGGACTCCAGTAAGATTAGCAACCAAGTTCCCAGCACCCACAATGGAGCCCGGAGGTCAGTGGTGGGATAACATACTGAAAATGTTAGGTAGGAAGTTAGAAATCAGCCTATGTGCATGACAGGGGCCTGAGGAAAACAGAAGTTTCTTCGGAGAGGAAGGCAACAGCCTCAGAGGTAACCAGTAGTTTACACTGCAAAGTCCCGCCCAGACCCTGAGAACGTCACAGGTCTCAGCCCTCCCCCAGGGCAAGCTCTCCAGGAGAATTCTCTCTCCTCTGTACCAAATGAGGTATCAAGCTCCTGCGGCTGGTACTGCTGGATGGGCTGCCCAGTCTGAGAGCACTGAGTAGTAATCCCTTGGGAGAAATTTCACCTAATTCACACTCAGCAAACCCTTAGTCCTGGAGGAGGAGGAGGAGAAAGAGAAATGGCGGGAAGAACTCAATCACTTTCTCAGCTGCCTGCCTGACCTGCCAGGTATATTCTCTCCATTAAACCCTGTAACCTTGCTGTCCGCAGACTGAGTGACTGGACGCTCTTTCTTGGATTCTGTCCCATCTGCTGTGAAGGATGCCCTACCCCCAATAAACCTTGCTACCTTGCTTACCACTGCTCTCTGTCGCACTTCTGAATTCTTTCTTGTGTTTAGACAAGAACCTATCCCTGATGGAACAAGGACGTAAGCCTCAGTCATTTTAGGTTCTGGTTCCCCTGCCTTCCTTCAAGAGATCAGCTCAGATTCTCCTCTTGTGTTGCCCCCCTCCCCCAGGTTTGGAAGCCACAGGGCCAAACCTGAAGAACCCATATAGAGATGCTCACCTCCGCCTACCCAAGCTATAAAAAGGCCCAGCCTGCCAAGGGCCCTTTACCAAGTGTTCTTTCATTCTGTGTACACGCTGGCAGTTGATCAACCTCTGCAAGTTTATTTTCTCAGAATAAACTTGGTCTGACTGCGAGTCCGTATTCTGCCTCCTCTCTGTTCTGCACAGCTTTTCTGTACATTTGGTGGCCCGTGTGAGGAGGCACCAATCTGTGCCTCTTCTCCTTACAATCCCACCCATCCCAGCTAATAAAACTACTTAAGGAAAAAATGGTAAATCAGGAATCCTGTACCTGGCAAAGCTGTCATTCAAAGTGTGAAAGCAATATAAAGAGTTTCCTAGAAAAACAACACTGAACTTGTTACCATCAAACCTTCCTTCCTCACAAGAATTGCTTAAGGAAGTTTATACAATGAAAGTAAATGCCTCCAGATATTCTTTATTCAATTCTACACACATATACACAGACACACAAAACTATGAGTGCTGCTAAAGGTGATTGTGTAATTACAAAATATAGTATAATGTATATTTTCCTGTTTTCTTCTACTGTAGATTGAAAAAGCAATTTTAGGGGAGATCATTTGGCTTAGTGGTCGTTATCCACATCCCACATCAAAGTACTGTTTATTAAAGATAAACACAGATATTTGGTAATAATAAAGGGATCAATTGAGAGGAAGTTATTACAAATATATATGTAGCTTATAACAGAGCATGCCAGTTAAAAAAATCTAACAGAAATGAAGGGAAAAAGAGAAAATTCAAAACTGAGTTGGAGACTTCAATTCTCAATTTTTAATAACAGATGACAGATAAACCTAGACAAGAGATTAACATTGAAAAGAACTATAGGCTGGTGCCATGGCTCAATAGGCGCCAGCACACCGGGTTCTAGTCCCAGTCGCCCCTCTTCCTGTCCAGCTCTCTGCTCTGGCCCGGGAGTGCAGTGGAGGATGACCCAAGTCCTTGGGCTCTGCACCCACATGGGAGACCAGGGGAAGCACCTGGCTCCTTGCTTCGGATCAGCGCGGTGCGCCGGCCGCAGCGGCCATTGGGGGTGAACCAATGGAACAAAAAGGAAGACCTTCCTCTCTGTCTCTCTCTCACTGTCCACTCTGCCTGTCAAAAAAATAAATAAATAAAAAAGAAAAAAACTATAACAAAACTATTCCTAATAGCCATTTACAAATTTTTTCACTCAACAACAGAATATCTATTCATCTCAAGTACACATGGAACTTTCTCTAAGACCAGTCACATGTCAAACTATGAAATAAAGTCTCAATAAACCTAAAAAAATATAAATAATAAAGCATATTCTTTTGTAACAATGAAACAATGAAACGAATTTACTAAGTCACTAAAGGAAAATTGGAAGAAACTCACAAATATGAAGATTAAACATATTCCTAAATAGCCAATGAGTTAATAAAGAAATTCCAAAGAGAAATCAAGATGGAAATGAAGATATAACACACTAAAGCTTATAGTATGTAACTAAAGCAGTACTCCC